TTAATTTGCATTCATGAAATGTTCTGTCAACATCATGAACTGCAAATTATAAGTTCAGACATATGGACCTCTCTATACTCATCTGAAATGAGAATAGAGAGTTCCTCGCAAAGTTTTAGTTGACTCTCGGTAGTTTCTCTAGTAAAGTCACCTAGATAAGAAAGAGTTTTTGCTGGAAATACGGAACTTTCTGAAAACGAATCGGACTCTGAGTTCCGTATTTTATGTATTTAAAGAGGACTCTCTTCTCTATACTCTATACAAACGTGGCACTTCAGCACACCGGCCAAATCTAGACCATTAATATATGCAGAACACCTCCAAATCTAGACCATTAATATATGCAGAACACCTCACACGTGGATGTACGTCACATCTGGTCGTCATAATAGGTTAAGGCTCATCACTATATCTACGATAGCAAGGCTTGATAAAGGTAAAATCCAGGACCAGAGTCTCAATCCCTCATCCGATAGTTTCGTATCGAACTTTAAACTTTTGTAATAAATGGTAAAGTAGATAGTTTTGCTACATCTAAATATTTGAATTATTTATAACCGACCGTGATAGGGTCAAATACCACAGTCAGTATCACGGTCGGTTATATCATGGTCAGTTACATCAAAATATCTTAGTCGGACGATTGTGGATCATCCTACTCCGTGATGTGGAGCGATACGACTCTTGATCCCGACATTCGGCACAACAACGTAAGCCGATGTCAAACTGCATTTGGCAGTGGTCTGACGGTACAGAGGAATGGTACTGTAGTCGGGAAAATGGGAGTCCACAGAACTTCATCTCGTCAGCGTTGTTGTGAAGTGGCTTCGATCTGGACTTTCGACAACGATTCGATTGACAGGAAGTCAACGACTGCATTCTTCATTCACAAGAAAGTAATCCAATCTCAAACTGAAGTAGGTTCAGATCGTGTCCAAACGAGTCGGCCTGAGTAAAGGTCAAAGGTCGGAGGGAAACTGGGGCGGAAGAAGATCACGATGACTTACTTGAACAGCTCAGAATTTGCTAGAACATGAACTGGAAATTTGCCCTATGAATTTTTTGTCGTCAATGTTAACTATGGGAGAGAGTCCATGAGTTTCATCTTGCTGTACAGGTTGACTGCTGTCATTTAAAACTCTCATTTCAAAAAAGATATCCTAGTTAAACTCTTATTATTATATAATGGTCATATATTATCCATGACCAGCTTTCAAGAATAATCCTGCATCCACCATATGCTTCATTTACTTAAAACACAATCTGAAATATCATCATATAATATTGAGCACCTGCTTTATAGCATAGCCATGCAACCACTACATACAATATCTTCTTAAAAACTTTCTCTGGTATGTTCATATACTATTCATAATCAGCCTTCTAGTATAATTATGCAACGATTTTTGCTAGTTTTTTTTTAATTGAGACATCATCTACTTCAAAAAATCTGCCTGCTATTCCTCCACAACATGACATAGATATAGTGTAGGGGAAAAAGTAGAGCTTTTCAGTAAAAAAATTAAAAATCTGGGATCAAGAGTAGATTTTGACGATGAAGAGTAGTTTTTTCCAAAAGGATTTGCGGTCCTTTAACAACTCTCTTGTCAAGAACTCTTGCTTCCGTCAAAAAGTCTTGTAAATGTAGCATATAGAGGTTTTTCTTACCAAGATCTAAACAAAAGTTGAGGAAGCTAAAATAGAGTAGCACTTTGAGAAAAAAATGTATGTTGAGGTTAAGGTTGAGGTTCTAGAATATCAAATGTAGAGATAAAAGAGCTACAAGCAGGTGAAAACAAAAAATAATCTATTGAATTAGCGCATGTAGAGCAAAAACATGTATAGTAGTGAGAGATGAGAAAGTGAGAGTTATCATTAAAAACTTTCAAATTACATGTGGCTCCAAAAGTTAAAAAATTGCTATGTCAAAGGATTTATAAAAATATCATAAGAGTTTTTAGCTGACAAATTATACTGAAGTTATTCAAAAAGAGTAAAAATCAAATAAATACTCAATTGGGTATATTGAGCAGAATGTATGCTAGTGAATGCTAGCATACATTCACTGCAAAAACTTTGCCTTTGCTTTTGTACTTGAGGTTATCACTCTTAAGTCGATGGAATAGTTGACTTTGACTGCAAGTGCATGTGAAGTAGATAGACATAAAAATGATGCAAATAACAAACTAACAAATAACTATAAGATACCCTAAGACAAAGTCAATGATATTGAACTCTAGATGTATGACAGGTAGAACTTGATACCTGATGAAAGTAGCAATACCACCTTGATAACTTCCTCCTCATTGATTTCTATGGTTCCAAGTCAATCTCACCAAAGTAAACCCTTGTATATCGTTGATAGTATTGTTTTCATGTTACTAAATCTTCGCAATGTTGATGATGTCCATCTTCTACCAAATTGGAAAAGCAGTCATATACCTGGTTGAAGAATGACTTCTTATATTTGACATTTACACCCTCTACTTCTTGGATTGCTAGTTTGATGCCAGTGTTTTTTCTAAAGATAACAATTGTTTGACCATCACGTAGGTAAGAAATAAAACCTGCTTCTGAGTTTCTTTGACTTTTGTAAAAACAAAAACTCATCATTTCAAAGAATATGAAAAATTTACAACTATTCAATTAGTTTATACAAAAGAACAAATTGCGCGTTGAAACCACAAAATATAGTTGTCTCTGCAATATGATGTGAGATAACTGATTGAAAAAATGCTTCACGAGGTTATAACAAGTAATTACAATTTTTCCATACATAAACTTCATATTTTATAGTTAAAATGTTATCTTTAGAGCTTGAAATGCAAGTACTTCATTAAGGGGCATGTCTGAAAATTATGCCTGCAGACCATCCGAAAATAGCAATGATATTTACATTTGTTAGGATGATAGTTAAATAATATGTAATATCACACTCGATCATGATATGATATCACTTGCTCATATTTCAATCAAGTCAATATTTGTTGACCGGGTTTTATGAAGTATATCCATTACTTCTTTGACCGTTTCATAGTTATATCCAATTTAATTCTATCTCAAATGTTATGTGTTTTGGAAACAAGATTCTCATCTTAATCTATATTTCAGGCATTTTTTTCTTCATTCCATGGCGAGGTTGAACATGTAGTTTTTTTCACGACACTATAGGTTGGCGTGTGATGTCATATGCAAATTATTTTGGATTTTTTATCTTTCCGTTTCACTGGTTTCTAGGTCACTAGAGTAGGGCCTGATTGACACATGATGGTGATTCTTAATTTTTAGAGATTCTGTGGATGGATTGGACTACAACGCATGAATAATATATATGCATTTGGTGCTTAAGGTCACATATATTTTCAATGGTGCTTTGATTATGCCCAACGGTGTGGATCGATGACTAGAGTTAATGAGTAATTTGTATGCATTTTATTTATCAAGATAGAAAAAATTTCACATTTGAGGTCTTATGTATATTGAGACATTTTGAAAACATCTTTTCTTATATTAAGTCCATAAATATTTTGAAAGGCTCTCTTTGAACTACAAACTATGTTGTCTGGACTCCATGCACCATGTCTCAACAGGAATTTTCTCCATAACTTCATATTATCTTGAACGGACTATCTTCTGGTCATATAAGTTGACTAAAGAGTCCCCACTTTGTCGGACTATCTTCTGGTCATATAAGTTGACTAAAGGGTCCCCACTTTGTCGGACTATCTTCTGCTCATACAGTTGACTAAAGAGTCCCCACTTTGTCACACATCAGTGCGTAAATTGTCTGCCAATGGTCACCGGACCTCGTGCCTCCCCGGGGAACCGTAAGGTAAAGTTGGGATAGACTTCGGGCAACCTACTGCTGTTTCCGATCTATGCTTTCCCAATCGAAGACGAATATCAGACAGAAAACCATAGGGGGCGAATTCTAGAGCTGGTCTACATGCCAATCGTCCACGAATGCGTTATTATTTGTGCGGCTCTCTCACTTGGACATTCGCTTGAAGTCAGTTTGACCAATCCAGTCAAAATTCTGTTGCCTTTCGCTTCATCAGGTACCTTTGAGCCAGTGTTAGCCAATAGACCAGGCCTCCTTCTGGTAATCAACTACAAAATCCCAGAATTAACCGAAATTAAAACTTGCGGCGTCCATAAATTAAGGATCCCGTCACTATCATAGTCCATAGTCATTCACGGTGCTGAGACTCTGGGAATGGACGTTAGACAACGTCTCGAAGGAAAAGCTGAGCTTTTACGAAGAAGAATCTGAAAATGATTTCTGTTTTGCAAATATTGCTTACTGTGCTTGAAGGTGCGTGAAGCTTTATGATCTAATATCCATGAACTTCTTACCGGATATCCCTGTCCATACATCCTGCATCTCAGACTATATTCCACTGGTTATTATCTTTTACATTTTTAGCCCGCTGAAGATTTTTCATCAATCACCAACCAGTGTTGCTGTAATCCATATGTCCTCAAAAGGGTGTAGCATATCCCACTTGCCTCTAGAAGTTTGCTCCTTTCTTGCAGTATTGATTTTGCATACTCTTGAAGGTGTGCATACACATTGGCTCGATGATACAATCTCATTAAGAAATCCAAGTGGACTTCACAACTGTTTCATGGCATTGAGGGCTCGCGGTTTATACATATTCAGCTTCTAACACTCAAAATCTGTCACATATCTCAGAGACAAGTGAGATTTAGACCATCATCGAGTAATGAAGTGCGTTTCTGAGTAAATCCAAGAATTAACAAAATAAAGAAAAATAGAATCCATAATTTAAGTTAATTTCGGTAATTATGGGAATTCCCAGGCATTACGTGGACTGTAATAGACACATACAAGAACACCACTATAAGAAGCAGGGAATGCGTAAAGCTGACCACATTTTTTCTCGTGGTTAGTACCATAGAAACATACCACTTCCTCCTGCTTCCCAAAAATGCACACACAAAGTCCAAAAGCTACAGCATATGTGAATGTTCCTCGAGTGCAAAAGGCTAACATCAGCTTTATTTATATGGAAAGTTCCAACTGACTGCAGTGTCACAACTGCAGTCAGAGCTTATCTTCTTCTAGCTGAAGGTATCTCGCCAATTGCACGTACAATCAGTTTGAACACAAAGAGTGGCCTATGAGTTTCCGACTTCAGCCTTGTAACTAATCCAGACTTCTAAGGTCGATGGATGGATAGCATCGGAGATTTTCACCATCTCCGAGAATCGACAGATCCAGCTCATTACACTTCTAGGGGCAGAAGACGACCTCGTAGTCAGTGCCCGTTCCGCAAGTGAAAGTGGAAGTAGCATCGTCAAAATTGTAACTGTAAGCATCGGGACATGCGTTTTTGAACTGCATCGTTCCGGCAGTAGGACCCAGACCATTAGTTCCATCGGTGTTCACACAAGAGAGGGCGCCGCTAGGTAGAGTCTGTAGGACGTTGTTCGGTTGGCAGAAACCACTGCAGTCAAAGAGAATTCGGGATCAGCTAACTCAGTCTCAGACTGCTGTCCTCTCATCCTTCATTGCAATCACATGTTGAAATTTCTCATTAGCAAATCGATGGACATACATTTCCACTATACATCTAAGCAAGTTGATACGAGAGTCCAATACTCAACAATACGGAGCGGTTTGCTTACCGGATGTCACCAATGGTACAGCTTATGGACCTGCAACCTCCGTTCGCGGGGCGTATGGCCAAGCCAATTGTGTAGGCATTCTGTAACAAGATTCAGACCAGTGAGAAGTTTCAGTTTAAGAAATTCCCACCTCCGCTTAAGACACTGCTGTCACGAGAAGGGCATTCTGGAACCCATCATATTGGATGGTAATGCGACATTGAAATGAAACAAAGTACAGATTTACTTACGACGTTACTGATGTCGTAAAAATCGTTTCCACCGCTGCCGGGGATGGTGAATTCAGCCAAGTTGGCCAAGTTTCGATCTGTTGCTGCGTTGGGACTCCCAGAAACTGCACACTGTCCTGTCACTGAGGCGTATACAGCTGCAGCTTGCCAGTTGCAAGCCGATCCCAGATCAATGCCTTGCGAGCCTCCCGAACCCAGATTATACTGAGCTATGTTTTGATTTCCACTTTGAGCGCATGCTGTTACTGAATAGCCACAGTTGTTTCGGACTGTGACGACACAACCTGCACAGGAGAAACGCAACGCCGAAATTCAACATCGATAGGGAATTCTGTAAGCAGATGCAGTATAAGAATCTACAAGAGAGTTTAAATATTTGGATACCCAGTCATCTCGCATAATGCTCGACATATACAACGTGCAGGTTCAGCTGCAGATCTTTTCCCATATGAGAATGGGAAGTCTGAGAACAGCCTAGGAGCATTGTGGGAGAATCTCACCCGAGGCGAATTCACAAGAGATGATTGCCACAAGGAAAACTGCCTGAATCCAGAGTGAGTTTGCCATGGTTGGTGAGAACTCAGGACTATGGGAAAAAATCAAGTGAGCGAGAGTAGATTCTGATGACTATGAAACGCAGTTGGAGGGCGATGGTTGTATTGAAGAATTAGCTAGCACTGTGACTATTTATACCTGTGCTCATGCTCGCCCTTCAGATACAACCTCCACGGATACTGAGCTTGCAAGAAATCGATGAGTTTGCAAGATGATGATCAGGGACAGTAGTCTCCCGACTAAGTACTCACCTTGATCTGGGAGGATTATGCTTAATGCGTAATTAGGCGAATCACTTCCCTTGGGAGAAGTTGTTAGAATTATTACCGGACAATCGATGGGAGAACCTGGAACTCTGTTAAAATTTCTAGCATTTCATACGGGAGTATATATATATTATCCCATATTAGTTCTTGTGAAGGAATAGTCATGAAGGTTCTTTTCTCTCTACGGGACATAATAGAAATCTACAAACAATAATTAATAACCTTTTGAGAAAATCATATATAATTTTTAGATATTTCCTTCAGTTTAAAATTGGAACAACAACTATACTGAAATGATCTATATAGTTATTATGACACAATTTTTAATTAGGCTAATCACTTCTTGATATTGTGATTAAATTGTAATGTCAAAGAATCCAGAACTAAACTATACAATGAATTTTAGCGATGTGATATAAATTGAGCGACACCTATACTTCCCATAAAAGGGTTCTAGCTGACGAGTAAGAATCATCTATAAAAAATATCTGAGACGAGTGGGAGTAAATGCTAAAAAGATCTGAACTAAATATCCGATGAATCTAAAGAGAAGTTTTTAAGATCTTGTTGGTGATTTCATGGAGTTTGAATAAATGCTTTACATCTGGATTCAAAGCATATGTATTGTCAATTTCTCTATTTCTCAATCGCCAAAGTAAAAAATATTGCATAAATATTCAGCTAAATCAATCATAACACGATGAGTGTTACAAAAGGTGGTGCTTTTTGGAGAGCGACCTAAAGTCAACAAATCCGAAAGTGGATTACTGAAAGCTCTAGACGACCTATAAGTGTTCATTTATTGCCCAATATTATTTGAAAACGAATACAATATTTTCCATAGCGGTTAGTTTTGTTTTACTACTACTTAAATGCAGCCTCCTATTGCCAGATTAGGAAACATCAACCAAAAATTGGTTCCAAACACAAGAATCTTCAAAACTTGCGCAAAATGAAAATCTATGACATTTTGAACTGTCAAAAAATTTTGGAAAAAATTATATGTACTTAAAACAGGAGGCTACTGTAGTTTGAAATTCTCGACTAAAAAAGCTGTCCCCGGTGAAAGTCAAACTTTCCGGTGAATGCTGAATACCTATAAAATAGCATCGTTTCACCTATGCTAATTGAATTTACCAGTTGAAGTAATGAAATGTCGTTAGACTTACTATGACTGGAAACTTGAGGACTAATTAAATTGAAGTGAAAGGAAACTAGATAATGTGACTTTTATTTCTCAATAAAAAAGTATTTTTTTTGGCAGGCAATTTTATGTACATCTTTAATCTGTAACAGTGTACAAGATGAAACAACAACTTATTAGTTCTTGTACTTACTTACATAGGCAGTGGGCTCCTAACCAAGGTCCATCACGCGGACAATAGACTCTGACTTGTATATTTCAATATTTCTGACTTTGGACGCTATATTTACTTGGCCATGGACACACGCCCTTAGTGGTAGCAGTAGTAGTGGAAGAGAAAGGAAGTAATACAATCACTTTCTCAAAGTGAGAATATCCATTATTAAGCGCTTTGACAAGTACATAAAGAAAACACTACTGTACCTGGACAAATATGTGGATTGTGTACCAACAATCAACACCAACGAGCAAGCACATCCGCTGAAGGCTAAAATTAACGTGATGCCATCAGAAGCTTAAATGAAAGCTACGGTACAAATCACACTTTCGAAATTCCTTTACAATACTGGAATGGTCCAAAATTTAGAGTTATTTTGTTGAACTAGAAAACCGTGCCTAAACAGCATCACAGCTCATGAAAAGTTTCATCATTTCTGCTCCAAGAAATTCAACCATAGCAGCGCACGTGTAGCAGAAAAGTGCAGCTGGAACTTGGACTGTCCGTGGCGTCACACAACGAACTTTTGAGTAAATTAAGTCGTGCAATAAAGTTACACGCTTTGATCGATCATGACACGGAGTCCGTTGGGCTACAACCGTCGGACCAAAGTCTGCATTTTGCCACTGAATCGTACTGTAAAGTCGGACAAACATTCTTCTGTGAACCCCGTCTAAGTAACTGCCGACGTTAATACGACCTCTAGGACTGTGCAAGAATAAGTTGACATTGCAACCCAATTTCTCATCCAAGTTGATATCCGGCAAGGGCGAATTTCTACTTGACGACATTATCTGTTCTATTACACACGATCGATATGCCACATAGCCAAAACCACCTGTCAGGAATTGATACCATCGAAAGATGTAGAGTATCGAATATATATTCTTTCATGGTGGCAGTATACTGTATCAACATGGATATCTGCTTCAATCCGTGTTCATAACGTATACTGCTTTATTATTTGATTCGGTGTGCTCATTCTAGGAAATCAGGCTTTAGATGCTTTGATGCAACATTTAGATACACTTTGAAAACTAATTTTATTTACAAGGAATGAGTGTAAGTGAGAAAAATATATGAGAATGACTTGGCTAAACCATTTCATGAAGATCAAAGTGTAGTACATGCAGACAGTAGAGAGAAACGACCTCCCAGTGATAGATGCGAATTTCCGAAACCGAGTCAATTGCAGTCTAGTTACTCAAGAAAAAACGGTTGTTTGACTTGGGCAATTCATCAACCATCGAACTCAAGAGCTTGAGCACATTTTTTGGTCTTGTTTTTTCTACCTTTTTTTAATACTGATATTCATTATATTATTTTTGTTCTTGAAATCTACTCTATTATAGTAGCAACTTACTAAGAAATTTGTTTCAATAATTTTGTATCTAATACCATAAGTTCGAACCTTCAAATTGGGTAAGACTTCTTCTGTCTTTCAAATCCAATACATCCCACAACCCTATAGACTTCGACATAATGTAAATCATTAGTGGCATAATGAATTGAAAAATGAAATATAATGTGAATAATGTCATATTTGAACTGAAAAGGAAAGTTTCGAATAAATTCACTCAAATATTTGCCTCAAATGTAACATTCCACGCGATCACATAAACCATGTCAGTTATAACTAAATAAATAAACATAGATCAAGCATTTTAGTGTGACGTCAACTTAGTTGACGTCACCCAACATGTCACTTCTAGACCGTGCTTGACCTCAATGCCAGCAGCTTCAGATTTTCTCATCGTCAAGGCTCGAGGTACCAAATTCACTCGAATATTTGACTCAAATGGAACAGTCCTCGCGATCACATTAACGATTTTAAATTATAACCAAAGAAATAAATATCTATATATCAAGACTAGAAAAAGAATGCAAGTTGACGTCACACAGCAGGTCACTGCTAGACCTTGCTTGACCTCAATGCCAGCTGCTCCAGATTTTGTTATCGTCAAGGCTCGAAGTACCAAGTTCACTCAAATATTTGCCTCAAATGCAACAGTCCACGCGATCAAGTAAACCATGTCAAGTTATAGCTAAAGAAATATATATGTATAAATTAAGACTAGAAAAAAGTGCAAGTTGACTTCACACAGCATGTCACTGCTAGACCGTGCTTGACCTCAATGCCAACAGCTTCAGATTTTTCCGTATGTACGTTTGTACATACGGCACCTTGGTCCTTCCAGTGTTTACTCTCCACGTTTCAACCCTTGACTTGGAGCTTGTACCGAACCAAGTCGGGAACGGTCGCCAAGTCGTACCAGGGGCCAGGCCCCGGTACTGAACTTAGTTGCGCGTTGCCTTCCAACCGCACCGTGCTCCGAAGTCCACGGCCCTTTCCAAACTTTACGGATGGAGTCGAGTAATTGACTTTAGTCACGCCAAGTTTAACCCGGTTAGTAAGATCGCTTACGAAAGGCGTTCCCACAGCCTCCCGAAGTTTCTAGAAAAGCATCACTCTTCGCAGTGAGGCCGAATCCGAACATAGTAAGTAAGCTACGTCGTTGCACTGAAGAGTCGTGGTCGAGTGCCACTCTATCCGTCCCCCATCACTGAGTACGATGACCCGCAGTCGTCCGACTCCGACGTTTAAAGTTCGTAGTGCCAATTGCGAGATCGTTACGGTGGCATGCGCACGGGAACGTGGCGACGGGTTTCGGAGCAATTATTTAGCACCAATTCATGCTTTCCTGCCGATGATCGTTGCCGCTTCGTGTAAATTCTGCTCTCAGTCTCGTGCCATCTCTATGTGTATTATACAGATAATAATAAAGCTGGAAACTCCGCCGTACATCTGTTGCGGTTACTGATAGGATCTGTGGTACTGCACGAGCATCATTAGTATGACATTGTGATTACTGGGATCGTCATATTTTAATAGATGCACGTGGTATCCACAAACAAACATCTCGACTAGAACTCAAAGAAGTTCAGGTCTCGCCGGTCGCGTGAACTGTCATACTAGTCTTGCGTATATGGCGTGTATTGTGGGAGGGCGTTTCTATCTAAGTGAAAGTTAGCTCTAGAGCGACGACTTACATATCGTAGCGGCCGAGCTACCTCCAGGTCATTGTAGTCGGTCTGCATGGTCAAGTGATCTTTCTGAGATGTCGAGAGATTGCAACACGTTCGTTGGTTCGGTTCGAGTTGACAGGTTGAACTTGTATCGTACCGTAGATCATGCAGTCAATCAGTCTACTATTGGGTTGAGTTGGCCCATTACTTCAGTTACTTAAAAGTCAGCTGCTCGAGTCAAGCAAGATAGGTAAATGATAGACTTCTGATACAGGCATCTCCTTTCGCAACTATTTGATGGCCAATTGCAGCAATGAATCGTATGGATGTACGTTATATGTGGAGTTGTCCACGGAGTTCAACTGTTTTCTCTTTTGATGTCTTAGTCTGGAGATATAGTTTTCGGCATACCATCACCTAGCCCTGGCCTCCTGCTCGGAAGCAGCCTGCGGGGTGAATTCAACCTCTTGGACGATCTCGTCTAGATCCGGACTTGACATGCATCTATCTGAATGACCAGCTATGCCAATAAGGATAAAGAAGCGTTTGTGGTAAGTATCGTTGAGTGGTGAGAGATTGGAGCTTTTGAGCTTTACCTTTATGTTGGTATATTTGGTGATATCTGGTAAAGGAAGCTCCATCGCTGTGGCCAGGGCTTTGACAGAGAAAGGCAGAAAGTCACCGGTTGTCCATCTATCTTATGCGCAAGCTGGAAGCCTCGAGAGAATAGTGGTCAGGGTTTAGTATATGACCCGCCTTGGAGGTGTTTACAGAGTTCGTGAAGGCTTCGTGCTAGAAGCTTTGAGCTAACATATTGAAAATCTGATGCAGCTTCCGGTTTAATGGCTGTGTTGATCGTTCCACTAAGACATCTTCTTCAGTCATGTCTCTTGATTTGAGAACGTAAAATGTCCCAGATATCAAACTACAATTTTCAAGAGATTATCGATCGGACCGCATCTGCACTCTGAATCGCACCTAGCCAACTTCGTGTTCTTGTTAGCCTATCGTTCCCAAGATTAAGATTTGAGGTTACGAATTTGATGTTCACTTGGACTTGTTTCACATAGTCAATCTCCGTAAGAATTATGGCTATTAATTTGACCGTTTGCGTTTTGCCGTCTTTCCCTGGACAGATAAAAACTAACAGTCATGATTTATAAAGCGTTCAGTCTTCGGTTGGCTCTGCAATCGTGGTTATGGCAGATCGAAATCTTAGAAACGTGTCATTCCACCTGATGAAATGTGGAATTCTTCCTCACAAAAATAAACGATGCAAAGAGGTTGTTTTTTTACCAAATTGATATTGCTGGCATCCCCTGATCAGCTCCCGCACACTTTTCGCGAGTCATCCGATCTACTAGATGATTCATTCGAATTGTGTTTCACATATATGGAAAAGCATTCATAAGCTGGCAGGCATTCGTAATCGCAGCAACTCACAAAACTATGATAAGAGAAAATGTTCCTCTATATTGAGAAACTTTTTGGACCCGTGAAAACTGTAGATATGTATTCGAGCTTATAGGCAGCTCTCCACTACCTTAGCTTAGATGCACTGGACAAAATTATAAAGGAAATGCGTAGCTTAACAATCTTAGCTTTTTGGACGCGTGAAAACTGTAGATATGTATTGAGCTTATATGCAGCTCTCCACTACCTTAGCTTAGATGCACTCGACAAAAATTTAAAGGAAATGCGTAGTTTAACAATCTTAACGTTCCCGTGACATGAATGCCGAGAATCCATGACGAGTCTCCAAAGCTGGACTTCGGCTTCGAAAAATCTAAACAGAAAAAGCTCACCAGCCTTCAAGTCGACGAAGCAGATCTACCCATCGCAAGGAACGATGAGTAGATATGTATTCGAGCTTATATGCAGCTCTCCACTACCTTAGCTTAGATGCACTCGACAAAATTATAAAGGAAATGAGTAGACTTTGAACTCCAGAACCTCTCATCTCGCAAGTCCTACGAACCAGTTATTTCTCAGTGCACACGCTACGTGAAACCGAGCGCTCAATATATAAGTTGGGAGGGAATGAATCATAGTCTAATGAAACCGAGCGCTTAAAATAATAATGGTGATAGATCAAGCCCGGAAACCCGAAGTGTCAAACCATTGAAAACCACAAACAAGAGAAAATACCCCAAAGATCAATCCCTAGCTAATGCCAAGAGCACTAGAAAGTTAATTAATGATTCCCTTAATATAACAGTCAAACCATTGAAAACCACAAACAAGAGAAAAGACCCCAAAGATCAATCCCTAGCTAATGCCAAGAGCACTAGAAAGTTAATTAATGATTCCCTTAATATAACAACCGAAGCTAGCATTAACAATTAAGTGAAATGCAGAATAGAAATTCTCCACATCTATATTATAAACAATCATAATCTCTTCGTACCTAAAACAATTAAGATATACATGTTATTCATCTTCAATATATCCACCGTCACATAAATTATAAATAAATTCACTCTTATCAATATTAAACCAACGTCTTTCCTCAATTCTAAACTTACGAGATCGAGTTCTATTCCTAAGTGTAATTTGATGCCTCACTTGCTTCAAATAATATTCAGAAATTACTACTTTAAACTTTCGAAGAGTGCTATAGGTTGCATGTCCCAATCGCTTTCTGCCACAATCCACCTCAAAGAACAAGTTACCATATACGCTAACCATCCTTGGAACATGTGGCAAGCAAAGCTTGAAGAAGAAGGCGAGAAGCATCAAGATATCTCACCTTTCTGATGTAAGTGATAGTCAAGTATAGAGCCTCAGCCTCTAGAGATAGACAACTTGTTTCCGCAAGAAGAATAACATATGGAATAACATCTGATCCAACGATTGCACAAACATATCATCATAGCATGAATTTACAGGGAACCGTTCAGCTTGCATGTTGTTAATCTTCAAGCAAGAGGATGGAATTATAAGGTACGTCTGTCTTTTGATGAAACTTTTGAAAACGGTCCGTTTTGTGACTCCAGCTGCTGTAAATTTCCTACACCATAACTAACACAAAATATTCGTTGAGTGGATTTGATCTCTGCGGCTTAAGACGTAAGCAGTCATACGTATACAGAGTCGAAGGTAATACTGCTAAACCAATCAGTCTGCATATCCTTACACAAGTCTTTTGGCACTGTGCCATCCAAGGAAGGAATTCGCAAAATCGTGTGATTGTTGAAATACAGTTCCTACATCTCGTGGCAAACTATGTCTGGACAATGCAATATCCAAAGCAAAAAACTCCTGTCTAAGAAAGTTCCATAGTTCACCTTACCATGACAGGAAAATTAGAAAGTATATCCTGTTTTGAAAGAAATGTCCGTGCAATATCGGCAGTGGGTGATTGTGATGCAATAGCCATTGAAACGCCTTTCGATTTCAGCGCCTGGATCCCTTTTGCTTGTGGATGAAGCACCAGATTGTCGTTTGGAGTAAGTTGGGAGAGTTTCCAGGACATGACCAGGATATGACAGGGATCTTATGGGAGGAGTGGAAAAGAAGGCTGGATGGACAGAAAGTGCTTGAACCAACCACCAGTGAAGAAATTAGCATGCCGTCGAACGCGGCAGACATCTGGCAAAATATGCAGACGTCTAGCATGAGGATCGCTAAAGGAGCAAATGAAGTCACTTCCTGGATCAGCAAAAATCGGGAAGCATTGGGTGGCGGTATTCTGGCTTCAAGTAGTATATTTTGTATGTTGTATATCAGGGAGAAGATACTCTCTCTCTCTCAGGGAAACAAAAGTGAAGCAAACCTGAAGGTTGATCGGACGCCTACCAAGATCCAGGTTTCTTCACTCAACCAAAAAGATGCGGGACAAGGACCTTGGAGCTTCTTGGAAGCTCTTCCCACATCCTTCAAGGCTGCTCGAAATGGGATTCTTGGTACGGAAGATAACTCTGCCCAGATCGAGAGAACTTCTTTTGATTCGACAACGAATTGCATCAGCTCTGTTGAAGGTAACCCGGCTAGATCAAGTACTGTTCCTTTGAAATCAGAAGTGGGGCCTGCTATCAGTGAGTTAAGTACAAGTAGTGACAGGAAGGGAGATAGAGTAACCGCTTCTTTTTTATATAGAGTATAAAAAAGAACTCATCCAAGAATTGAGAAACGCACTAGAAAGTAGGTTCAGATAGGACATTGCCTCAAAGTGTCGCGCAAGTGCATCCTCGGAGCCATGTTCTATCCACGCAACCAAAGCCCGGACGACAAGCTCCTCGTATTTGCATGCTTTAACCTGGAAGAATTATATGAAATGTCAAAGCTTGAGAAACTCGTCATGTGGAGAAACGCCGTTTTTCTTTGGCTATGAGACGTCCTTCGACGAAAGATTTTTCTCACAACAGTTGTACCAGGGAAGGTCGAAAACTGTATTGAAGCACTGAAAGCATGAAACTTCAAGGACTTAATAGAGATAAACCTATTTTGTTTTTCTCCTCTTGAAAGGCGTGAATCATTGTCCTCTGTGAGGTTGAGCTGAAGTTACAGTTGGCTGCTGTGAGGCAAATAAGAGCTCTAGGAGGTAAAGTTGTGGACTTTTGAGGAGCCCATAGATAAGCTGCAGCTAGACCACAAGCCAATGCACAACAATTGTCTGCATCTGCTGCCTGTAATATGACCTGCTTGTCACGACCATAGCGGAAACCTGCGAGATACGTTACCGTCAAATCCCAAGACACAAGACACTAAAGTAGGAAACACATTCACTTAATTGTCTTAAAGAAACCAAGACTCCGTTACCAAGAATGGCGTGATATGATTTTGCCACCCCCAGTTAATCAGTAAATATAGTCTGACAAAACGAGATCACTCATGAATATGGTGCCTATACAAACAATAGTACTTCACTTACAGTTTCCTACTATGCTTAAGAAAACTGATGTCATATTTTCTCAGAATTCTTCGAGCACCACTCCAGACCACAAATAGGCGTATATACACCAAATATATTCACTAGAAAATGCTTGTATACGGACTGAACACGCTCGACGTTTTGGGCATTAAATAAGCACTTCTGCTAATTACCCAAAGTTTTAGCTAATAAGTATTTTGTTAGAGCATGAGCATCTTCACCCTTACTATAAATAACTTTAAGTGTATTCAAAATTATCCACACCATGAACCCCGAGGTTCTGCTATAGATTGCTCTAGAAATCCTGATCCCGTAGTCAAGGCTCGTTACTGTTGTCACCAATCAAGCAAGAGCCAGCTTAGCACAAAGAATCGACCGAAGGATCTTAGCTGTGGGCACTTTGCCAGTTCGGAGGGGAGCTCGGAAGAATTCAATTATTCTGGTGAAATTGAAGGACGGTCGATTACAAAGGAGAGCTCACTTCAATATAGTATTTGTTAAGGAGAATGATGCAGTCGTCGGAAGAAGAGCGCACGTCGTACCCCCACAGATCGTTCTTAAACTAGGTGGCTGGGTCTGGTTTCTCGACTGAACTTGAGGCCATTGCAAAGTAAGTAGCAGAGTGTGAATTCTCCTCATTGAAGACTTCTGAGTATCAAGTCCTGAGGCGTCGACTGTTTGCTCAGCATTTCTTTACGCAACCTGGTAAAGTATGAAGAATGTTATTAGGAGATCTACGTCTACAGAACCCAGTGTCAAATAGAAGTCACACGTCATGAAAAAGACGGAATTCTGTGAAATCGATCGCTTCTCCATCAACAGCTGAGAAGGTAGTCTACGCTTATGTCCACGGCTTACGATATCTGTAAGTTTTTTCTCACAATCCTCAGCATTCTCTCTCGCATTGCAGCTGGATAGATCTATAATATACATCAGGATGACAGCTCCAGCTCATATTACGAGTCTCCCAGCTGGATTTCAGGATACAGGACTCCAGCAGCTCACAAAAACGATAAGGAGCTGAGAAAAAACAGAGCATCAAAGACATCAATACAGCTAAAATATTATCGGAGATTCAGAAATCAGCACCTCGTGTAGTCACTAGTCGATTGAAAATAGCTCCCCTCAGCTATTATGTGCGAAAGGCACTGATCAGAAAAATCCAACAAGCGGTAAGCACAAGGCCGTAGACTGGCAGATACCTCTGTGATTCCGATTCATTTTTGCGTACCGTCTAATTTAAGAACAGGCCTCGCCCAAAACGACGTCGCTGTCAGTTGTTTCTTTGTCACTTCCTCCGGAACTCGATAACGAGTCGACTGTCGTAGCATTAACTTTAGCTTCCGAGAAGTGAACCGACCCTTCCCCTTGTGCTCTGACCGCATTCAGCGGATGCTTTCGGCTTGTTCTGACCGGCATAACCATCCCATAGAGCGAAAGACACGAACATCGAATGTGGACACCGATGGCAGGGCTTACTACTGACCAAACCATCCACAATACCAAATGTTTCAGGCCGAAGCACTCTTGGAATTTGTGTTACAGCAGGAAGGAGCAACTAGTGTAATTTTGATGGCGGGCAAAATTTGCACGACTCTGAGACTGACTCCGCCAGTTCTGTGATGGTGACGAGAGCTTAACGAGACACGGTACAAGCAGAGCTTCACTATGGTTGGAACTGATGGAATCACTGCAGATGTCAGAAGTGCCCGAGAGACAGAATGATTGACAATTGAAGTATAAGTTATGATATGCATTGCACAACGATTAAAATGTGAAGTCTATCTTTTTGTATCAAGAGGTTTTTGTTGTACATAGATTTTAATTTTACCTCCTCCGAATCCAGTAACAAATGCTTCTTCATTGTCTGTGCGCTTTATGATTGTAACGTAGGCGATAGTCACAAAGAGGGCAGGTAAAAGAAATGAAATATTAGCACAAAGAAAAACGAGTAACTTAGTAGAAGTATGGGAATGAAGATAAATTATTAGGGGATGAAACCAAGAGTATAACATGAGGCTAAGTCCGAACAGCATCACAATCAGAAAAATTTACTCCACAACACAATACATATCTAGTCATAAACGTGTTATTGTAATTGTTAATTATTTACCTTTTTGATTTTTTTGTGAAATGTAACACCAATTTAGCGCTATAGATTAATCTATATAGTGATGGATAAAATACCCATTTCATATATGCTGAAGAAATAAACAGCTAGGGACACAATTTGGTAGAAACTAGCACATTTTCATTAGAGTGTCTGACTCAACGTAAGTAGACTTTGATTAATTTGATTCAAATTGATACTAGACTACAAATAAATTAAAATTTTTCTCTTCAACAAATTGACTTTGACATGTTGTACAATGTATCTTGCACATCTTACTATTATATTCACATCAATCATCACAATACACATAGATGACTGCATATTCAAACAAAAATGACATTGCAGGATTATCAATTTTCAAAACATAATATTTCAAAATTATGTTTTTTTTCTTATCAAACATCCTAATACATGAATCTCATTTTAATGTATTTATATCATTGTGTGATTCTTTGTTAGCATGATAATCAACTTCAAATAAGAAGATTGATCTTTAAACTTTTCAATTATTCTTTTTTAGCCCTCAATCTATGCCATGGAAGCATTTAATTGCATTCTTCTAGTTATTCATTCAACATCACATTTATAATATCAAACATAACTCGTTTCATCTTCCAAAAAAAATCACAAATCACCTTACTAATTAATTGTTGCAACATGAAATCCATATAATATGAATCCAATTTCAAAATTTGAAACTTTAAATATTTGAATTATGGTTATATAAGCTATCATGAAAATGATTCTTTCAAATATTTAACCTCAATAATAATACTTCAAGTTCAAAATATTCACCATGTCACACTTCACAAAAGCTTCAAAATGATGATTTTTATTTCAAAAAAGTAGAATTGTAGTACTATCAATGTTTGGAATGTCATGTAAATTAATTTACACACATGATAATGATAATTATGATTTTTTTGCATCTAAATTTTGTATCTCTAAAATATCATTTACTCAAATCAGTACAAAGTTAATGATTTTTAAAGTGATCATTGCATTTTGCCAGAATAAGTATCACATTTGATTTGAATCTTTCAAATTGAAAGATTGAAATATGAATAATTTAGGATGATAACATCATTAAGTATATCCATATGCTGAAACATATCAAAATCAAAATGTTATGAAATATAACTTAATAAAATATTATAGACTTTGATTATATTTTTTATTCAAAAATTAATTTTAATCAAAGTCATCACTCAATTTGATTTAATTTTCACTGATGATAAAACTTTTGTTCATACATTTTTGCAAAATAAAAAATACGTTTTTTAGAGTGGCATTTGAATATAAAATTTCCAAAAATTGCATCTATTCAGAATTTTATAACTTAAATTTTTTTATTAATGAATATCATTAGACTATTTTTACATCATATGTATGAACAATGAGCATATTCTCTCTCTTATTATTTCAAACAACGTCATTGTTTGAAATAATAAGTCATTCTTTCAAATCATTCTTTGTGTTAGGTTGTTGTTGTGAGTTGTATGTACTATTACTCCAAATATTGAAAATTTTGTAAAAAATTTACTAAAATACAAGTATGATGATAGTAGAGTATATACAAATTCTTACATATTCTAATCTAAGATTCAATGAAAATGAATACATAATCTACTTCCAGATTTTTTCATTTAATGACATTTAAGTAATTGTTTGATTAAGTTTTTATTGATTTTGTCATTTAATGTTGAGATTAACTCAAGTTAAAGAGTAACCTTGGGTCCTAGTTATAAATAGGTAAAACGGTCACCTGGCCCGGGTTAAACAATCCAGCTTCTGCCCTGTACATAGAGTCTTTTATGACAAAATATGGAGTGAAGCATCGCGTATTCTTGGTGGACGTAGCTCTTAGGAGAAGGGTGAACCACATTTTTTTTGTGTCTCGTGTTGGTGGCTTGAATTGAATGTTTTGTCACTTTGTTTCTTGGCTTATACTGTTTACAATTGATATAAGAGCTAGGTTTCGGCTCGGTGTTTGTGACTTACAGTTTGTGACAAAAGTTTGTGACTATTTTTGAGAGTGACAATTTTGAAAGTTCTAGGACGAGTCTTCAGTTTCAAACTTGGTTGACAGTTTTTTTGTTGACGATTTTTCCAAGCTGGAAATTTGTTAAAATAACAAACTGACCATGGTGGTTTGAAGTTTATGTTTCATTTTTTTGAGAACTTAGATTTCAGAGTTTAGAGTAAGATAGATAGAGGGACGCTTGAGATGTTCGAAGTGCAACAGAAGAATTGAGTGTTAACAGGTTTTTTTTACAATTTTGATAGTTGGCTTTTTTCCCTTCAAAAAAATCTACAAAGTTCTGATAGGATATGATGTAGTAACCTTTGCGGTGCAGCATAGGCGTGCATCTTCAGCACGCCATGAAATGGAGTGGCGTAGTGAAAATGAGGCAATAGCGAGATAAAGGAAGAAGAGAAAAACAAAATTGATGGCAAGCTCAAAGCTTGATGAAGAGTTGTTCCAGTTGTGCTCCCTCTCGTGATGGTTTTTGTGCTGAGTCCAGCGATATTAATGCAAAATAACCGGCGGTTTTTTTCCAACGATCTTACTCCTCTGAACTTGAATTTGTTGTTGTGCACTGTCACCGAATATGTTCCTAAGAGTCCACGGAGTTCCTACATCATAAGGCATAGGGACGTGTCTCTTTTGGGCACCGGTGATGACTGGACCAAGAATTACATGGTTTTGACCGATAAAGTTTTGGGACGCAAGCTCATCAAGAATTTGTGGATTGACCAGCTCGATGCAAACAACAACGTCAACATCCTCACAATTGTGCAAAAATACAAAACCATCACTGAAGTCTAATTTTTTGACTTGTCAGGGGAGAATATTCTCATGTGCGTGTTGCAATATCGCTCTGCAAAGGAAAGTAGGTCTTCTGTCGACACAATTGATGCACTTGTGCTGATGAATTATCGATCCGCACATGACACTTCATTGCAATTGCCACTGAAGTAAACTTGCACTTACCTCATGTCTCAAAAGTTGACAGGTCTAAGGTGTTACGACAATCACATTGTGATGGGTTCATGATTCTGTAGCATATGATATGTTTGTGGCCAATACTCTTGTGCTAATATCACACAAACTCAATTGTGAGCAGATGTTTATGATCCTACGTTGGCCTTGTGATCTTGGTGAAAGCTGAAGATTTGGCTTGTTGAAGATATCCAGCTCTCATGATTTGTGCTCTTTGTTTCGTGACATGATTGCCTTAGATAACTTCTTTGTGGTAGAAAGATCAAATGTGACTTAGTACTCAAAATTGTAACGCATTAAAATCTGATTCAAACGCTAGGGTCTGATCGTGGGCCGAGAGCCGAGTGGCAAATGTAAGGCGGCGGTGGATTCCTCCTCAAACGTTAGGAGTTGGAGGCCAAGGGCCAAGTGAATTTACAGGTTTTCTCCCATGGAGGATCGGCAGAGCGACCAAAATAGTGGCACGCTTCTCTCACCCCCTCTATGAGCTGTAGGGCAGCCATGATGACGCGGACCAAACTGCGTTCCCCCGACCGGCAAGGTAGGAGAGAGAGCGGCGCGTGGCAGAACGCCGTTTGGTATCGGCTTCCCCCTCAACACAGCGGCCAAACGGCGATCTTAGCCGGGCCGGGCGCGGATCAAGTGCCGAATGGCGAGAGTAGGGCGGCTTCTTCTCACGGCAAGGCCGAAATAGGACTGCGGCCCTCAGAGCCAAGGACCTATAAATGTAAATTTAAAGTGTTAATTTACAAGTCGAGGGGCGAATGCATTAACATTGGAAGTGAATGGGGACGGTCGATAGTTAATGATGACTGTGATAGGCGACAACGATGATGAATCATGTACGACGGTAACGATTTGTCGTGGGCGACGGAACAGACAATCGCGGACGACGGTGACATACAGTTACAAGTGATAGTTAATCGCGGACGACGGTGGAAGTCGTCGGTCTTGGTCACGGACAATCACGGTTGCAAGTGGGGGTGACATGTGGCGGACAAACTAGGCAGGTACACACTAACCTCGATAATATCACACCCTCCATTTCACCATAAAGTGTGATATAAACAAGGTGTGACATTTTTGATATGTCACATTTTGAAGATTTGTGCATAATGTGATATTATCAAAAACACAGATAAAAAATCAAAATAAAATTACAATGTAAAAAAGAAAGTAACAAATCCAAAGCTTCAAAGTTTTTGAATGTAAAATTTTATTCAAAACTATGAATGACAACAAGAACACATTATAATGTGTCATTGACATCCGATAGAGATCTCTCATTAGAAACAAAGAAGTTTCTAATCTCACGTTGTTTTAGTGATGTTAAATGCCCAACATCAATTCCAATAAGATTGTCATAGATTTTTTCCATTACTAACAACTCTTGAGTGTTAAAAATCTGAGAACCTTGGCTAGACATAAAATTCAAAAGATCCTTGTCATATTTGTAAAACACTACGTCTTTCTTTGAGTGCAATGCAATGTGAGTACTCATACCTTTAATAAACAAAAAAGACACAATGTTGACCCACCAAATGGCCACAAAACTGAAATTGTGAATCATCAACACTGTTCAAGGTTGGTGCAAGGGGTGATTCATGACCCTCTGAATAACATTTC